TATTGTGAGTGATTTGAATGATTTACATTTGATCTTTTCAAACAAAAATTCCGCTGCACCACTTACTTTATGTTCATAAAATATGGAATCACTTAAAAGTCCTAATGAGATCTGATGCACAGTCACTTTCTTTATCTGACCAGCTTCATCCATGTCGCACGCTCCGACCAGATTAGAGCTGCTTGAGGTACAAGGAATAGAAGTATGAACTAGAAGTGAGAGAAACTTCTTCAACTTCTTGTTATCGGCATGACAACACCAAACATCGATATTCTGGCAAATAACCCACCAAAGTGCAGTGGGCAATGACTTTTCATTAATACCAGAAACATTGAAATCCCATTTAGTATGGTTCAGCTGTTGGGTTGTTGATTGAAAATTAGCGGATATCAGTTGATCATCCACCACAAGTGACAGGTATCCCATTATGAAGTTGGTAAGATCTTCAGCCTCTTGCTTCAAAGCTAGTAAGCGTCTTTTCAACTTTCGCCTTCTTTGTCTGGAGAGCGACAATCGATCATCATCAAGTGCTTTACTTTGGAGCAGATTCTCATTATTCTGCAACAAATACTCATATGACTTGATGTGCCTGTTCAAATCAACAAGCCTCTGAAGAGCCATAGTGTGCAATACATAGATAAGTGGACAGCAATTTGCACTATCATCCTTAAAATAGATGTCTGACAAGCACTTTATAATGTCCAAAAGGGAAGCCGAAGGTTGGACAATGGTAGAAAAGTAGCCTTCATCAGTCCAATCAGTCTTCTCCATCCAATCCTTTCCAGAGCATGCTATAAATGAATCTCCCATCACAGCTGATATCTTTTTTGATGTACCTAGTGGCATGAGGGTAATTATTTGCCTGTATAAGCTTCCACAGGACATACAAAAACGAAAGAAGAACACAATTGCCCAGCTGGTAGACACCATGTAATTTTGCCTTTTGCATTCAGCCATCTCTTTATGAAGATTTCTTCCCATGACAGCAAACAAAAATTCGTTGAGACAATCTGGCTGCAGCCCAACCAGACTATTAATTAAAGGACGAACAACATTCATTAGGTCGTTTACGGCTAGTCCAAGCAGATTGCTATTACCTGTAGTGACACTCAACGAATCAAGCAGTAGTACATAAATTTCGGATAAACCCCGTCCCAAGAGTTCTGCTTGCAGTTCAAATCTCAACATGCCATCGTCAAGCTCTTCTCCACCAGTCACTGAACACAAAACTTTCATCCATTCAATGGATTCTGACATATCCCTCGTCAAGTGGCGAATACATCCACTTGCTTGTCCTTCAGGTATGGATTTAATGGCATTATGAATTGACTGTTTAAATTCCCAAGAAGATAATAAAATTCCCAGTGGTCGTCCAATCCCTTCACAAGTTAAGGAAGTTTTTTGGGACAAGAATATGGTATATTTCATTTCTTCATCATCATTATGTGATGCCATAAGCCTCACTGCCTTGCAAAGTGCAAAAATAGTATTATTCACCTACAGTATTAAAGTAAAAAAATCGGAAATGAGGAACACTCTAATCCAGAATAAGTATTTGTGCAACAAAACAACACAAGCAAGATAAGCCGAGAGTAAACCATCCACACAACAAAGCCGCTATCATAAACAACTCAAAGCTGTGAATATTGCTCCAATTAATCAAACAACAAATTAAAGACTAATAAAAAATCATAGGTTATAAGCAGACACATTCAATTTAATGGAAAAGTGCTAAACTAACCTGGCGAAGTTCACTATATATGGAAATCAGTTGGCATCCTGTGCCTATTATTTGTGCAGGTAACATGCTTTGATCAAGTTCATCCGCAGAAGAACAACCAAAGGCCAAGTAAGAAAGAATCATTAGCCATAAGCTCACTAAATCACTCTCAACAACCTCATATTCAATATCCAAAAGATACCCTATAGCAAGAAATAGTTCCTTGGCTGATAAATTAAACATCTGCTTCACCTCATCATCCATCTGACATTTTACAGAGAGTAAACAAGAGGCAACAGATAATATGGTGCCATACACCTTCTTTAAGAAATTAAGGCAACCTCCTTCTGAGATATCCTCTGTCTTCATATATATATTTTCTTGCTTAAGATGGGAAAGTAAACTGGTAGTAGATCTAAGGATGCAATGGATATCTGATAACAGAGGCCCTAGTTCTGGTTTGGCTTGAACATACCCATTCATCTCAAGCAAAAATGGTTCCAAGGTCTGTACAAAAAAATCAAAAAGTGATTTCCGTGTCTCTGCATTCAGATTACCTGGGACATAGGCCTTTCTTGGAACTGTACTGCTACCCTCAGATGACTTTCCAGATGTCTGACCAGGTAAATCATCATCCATATGCTTTGGACCTCCAGTTTTTGCCATCATCTTGCTACCTTCATATACAACTGAAGTTCTTTTTTGCTTTGACACTTGCCCAACAAGCAAGTGAAATAGTACCCCTATGCCAGTTAAAGGTGATACATTCTTTTTAGACATAATGTTTTCCAGTTTATCAAATAAATGCCTATGATAACTTTTAAGGACTGTTTTCATGTCTTTTGATTTCCCATCTTGGAAGGTGACATACTTTTCTACACTTCGTAGACCTAAAAATCCATCAATATGGGCTGGCTGAAACAGCCCGTGAGAGAGAACTTCTTCAACCAACTTCAGAAGTTTTCTGGCCAAATCATTAGTACTTTCATGAATTTGAAGATCCATGATACTGAACAAGTTTAAAAGTGGCTCAAGAAGTTTATCCACAAAATCACGAAATCCATTCTTCCGAGTTGGATGGGCCCTCAGAAACTTGGCAAATGGCTCCACAACCAAGCATGAGAACTTAAGGACAAAAGTTCCTGCATCACTACCCTCTAGGTTCTTAGCATAAATTTTCTGGACAAGCTCAAGCACTGCAACAGTAGTGAAATCCACATGTCTAGACTTTCATCCAAAAAGCCACCCTGGGAGGAAACAACATGGACATACAATCAAGCACCAAACTATACACCTTAAACTCTTCACCAATAAAAAAAGATCCCTCCAAAGACAAAGGCCTGTTTTCCAGTACTGCTGACACATTTCTCGCAATATAACTGATGGATCGTAAAAGATTTCTTGACAAATTCAAAGAAACATGCAATTTCGAGGACTCGTCCAGGCAAAACTTGAAAATATCCCAACATCTAAAGTCTGAACAGGCATCCAAAACTCTAGATTGACTTCTTTCTGCATCCATTTTAACCTTACTTTCAGTAGAAACCAATAGTGACTGGACCCAATCACTAAGAAACACAATTAACCGTGATGTCTTCACAGTTTCATTATCTTCTTTCACACCATATTTTCCTTCTTGCTGTTTTTCTTTCACATAACAAAATGCGAGTTCCAACTTCCTGCATTCATACACGTTAGATGAATTAAACCTTTATATATATGTTATTGGCTTTTTTTTTCTTTGTTGAGAAAAAAATAGAGAGAAAATATAAATAGCACACCATGGAGTGCCACCCTGCATACAAGAGATTTGCATGTTATCCACAGACATTAAAATACCAATAATCCCCTTGATCCTCTCTATACTTAGGAGGAAGAACATTAAACAAAATACTCAAGGTTTGGAATCAACGACATTTAGTATTGAATAAAGGCAACAAAATACCCTCAAACCCTCTTGTTCTTTTCTTACAAAATCACCCAAACGATGGTTGAGGAATTAAATCTTTCAAATACATAGGATTCATCAGCATATTCTATTGTTATTAAATGCATAGTCCAACATACGCGAGAGATCCAAGAGGAAGCGAGATCTTTAGCTATTGAATACTTTAACTACAACTACTTATAATTCCCTCCCAAATCAGAACAATGTAATAGAAAGATTCTATAATAAAAAAAGTGATAGAGTTCATTGGCCTATTAAAACCTGCAACTCTAAACAGAAACCTCAGTGTCCTACTACTTAATTTGTTCTTTCTCTATCTACCAAACAAACCTTATTGCTACCCTCTACTCTTCGCAAAATTTTCTCCATAATCAAACAAACGTGGAGAGAGGGACGAGTTAAAATATGTTTCGTCCTTCTAATTCGCCAAGTAAATTCTTTTAATTTTCATTTTCAATAACATAATTTTAAATGCTTCCACTTTTGATAGCACGACTCTTCATTCCTCAATACTTGTGAGTTTGGTGTCCGAGAAAAAGTTTTCTCAAAAAGAAAAAAAGAAAAAAACTAGCACAGTAAACTGAAAAGGCAACACAAATAAAAGAATACTAACTTTAGACTGTCGAATTCTTTGTTCTGTAGAGATAGAATCAGCTGCAAGTTTTTCCATGGATGACCTTCTTCAGGCTCTAGTTTTGGTTCTTCTGCAAAGCTCCTGTCTCCTTCAGATTCTCTCAGTTTCTCATCCACACGGTGCGTCTTGGAAGGCCTTTGTTTCTCCCCCGAGGTAACTACTTTCCTCTTCTTTTTGTTTGAAGATTCCACCTTCATTGTTGACGTCCGATACTCTTGTGCAAACCAACTCCGAAAACAAAGTATACTCTTCTGCAAACAAAGGGCGGGCGGGCGGGCTTTGCAGGGTTTATGAGACAAGAGACAACAGCACGAGACGGTGCCTCTTAAATCTAGCAGGCAACTAAACGATGCCGTTTAAACGGGATTATATTTGCATTTTAAGATCACAAGGATTAAAAAAAATACTACCAAAATTTCACCTTTTTACAAATTATGTAGTAATTTTTTTATTTTATAAATTCGACCAAAATCTTTTTATTAAAATTCATCAGATTATAATTTGTGTCCCTTTTATTTCTCATAGTTATAAATATTTTTTATTTAGATTTAATTATTTATAAATAAATAACAAATTAAATAAATATATTTTCACATATTTTTTAAAAATTATAAATTTTATAAGTTTATTAATCTCAACCAATTAAAACACCAAATTGAGTCAAATTACAACTAACCTTTTGTATTAGTATTGGATTTTAAGTTTTTCAAACTACAAAATAAAATTCGAAATGACACTCACATTATAAATTTTTAAATCATACTTATTTTATAAAAAAATAAGAAATAATCAATTTAATTTTTTAATTCTATGCTATATTATGATATTTGTCTTAAAATTTATTTTCATTATAATTTAATCTTTAACTTACAAATAAAACATTATTTATCATATTTTTTATGACACTATGTATAAAAAAAAAATTATTGATGTCACACAAAACTTATTCAAGACATACATTCTCTTTAAACAATTTAACCAAACTACTATTGTTTTAGGGATGGTGCTAAACGGGCAACATAAGTCAAGCTTACCTCTATATGTATTGTTTTAATGGATCAACTCTATTGTATCAGATATTAACTTTTCTTTTCAATTAGTTTTGTAACACTCACAATTTTTTTTTTGTGATTTAATAATTAGTAAATATAAATTTTATTATTTTAATTTATTTTAGTATATTTTATTTTATTTAATTTAGAGTAAAAAATGAAATAAAATTAAAGGAAGATTTAATTAAAAATAATTTTGAAAAAAATGGGTGAAAATTTGAGTTTTAGGAGTACTTTTGAAAGAAAAATCGAAAAACAAGGGCCAAAACGCAATTTTAGAAAGTTTCGGAACGTCAGACGCCGTGTCAGCAGTCCAGACCAACCAGGACATGTCAAATGGCAGAGACATTGACGCAGGAGGCCACGCGGGGGGGTGCCACGTGGGCGATTTGCATGCCCACAATCGAACGACTGAGGATGATATTATCATCATCATAAAATCATATATAAACTGTATAACATAATACTTATCAAGCCTTTTGCAATTCAATCGTTACACAACATATTTTCATCATTTACCAGCCCACTAGTATCCATGGGGATCCATAGGGGTCCTGCTACCCGTTAACCCTTAACACTTGAAATTAGATTCCAGGGCCGTCCCCATACCCCGTCCGGTATAGGTGTCAAAACTATAAACCTCATTACCCCGTCCTGTATGAGGGTGAAACGGGCTGTCCCCATACCCCGTCCGGTATGGGCGCCAAAACACATAAGATCTCCATACCCCGTCCGGTATGGGAGACCACAATCCCGGTAGGGTTCCCTACGGACCCGGTCCGTCCACCATCTCCCAGGATATCTAGTCAGGCTGACCACATTATACAATTACCCATTTACATAATCTTTCATTCTCTTTTTCCTCAGTCAGCATCATTAATCCACATACAAACAAGCAAAACAGTAATTTATGCCAAACAGACAACATACAGCATCAATATCCCAGTTATTCAATTCATAATCAATAAAACAGTAAAATATGCACACGAAACTATAAAATGAAAACATCAAACCTCATACTGCATTTAAAACTGTAAAATAGGCCAAATAACAGTTAACCGACAAACACACTAGACTCGGGCTCCATTAGCGACCTTAAGCAATTTCACACATTCGTTGATTCAAGAAATACCGTTTTATCATTGTTGAACTTTAATACTGTGATAGGAAATAGGGTGAGGAGTCCTTACTCGTTTCGAGGTCCGAACACGGCTTCACAGTGCGCCTACAGGCTGTCCCTAATTTTCCCTGAATTTTTCCTGGGGAACTGAAACGCATTACTGGTACCTGCACGTGTTCTAAAAAATCCCAAATTAGGCCTAGGGCCCCTTTTTGGCCAATATCGCAATTCCAGCACGGCGGCAATTCGCCTCGGTTTGGCCGTTTTCGGCTGTTTCTGGCCGAATTCGGCTACACTTGCATCGGTCCTTGCGATAAAACAACCCTAGGGCCCTCGGAGGGCCAAAAAATTACGGAAAACCGAAGCTTACTGGCGGCGGCGCTCTCGGGTGCGGCGGCTCTCCAGTGAGGTTCGTGTTTTGGTGATTCGGCTCCGATCAACCTGTAGAGAAAAGAATGGTGATCACGGTGATATAAAAATTGCATCAAACGGAGGCCGGGAAGGGCCTCATCGGAGGCAAAAACCGAGGAGGGGCGCGGCGGCGCCGCTGGGTTTTGGCAGTGTTTTTCGGTCGTTTGGCCGGGATTTTAGCTCCGATTTGGCCACAGGAGAAATCAGCATGGAAAAACGAGTCGGGAGTATGAAATTTACCTCGATCAGCGGTCGAAAATCTCCTCGGTGCGGCGGCGGGTGGCGGCGGCGGGTGGCGGCGGCCGGCGTCTGGTTCGTCTTCTCTGGCGAGGGCAGGCAGCTAGAATTTTTTGTGGTCAGGTGTGGGGGTTCTATTTATACCCTTTTGCCTTTTGATCTCAGCCGTCCATTTTGATTTAATCTGGGTCGTCTGTTTTTGATTGAATCTAGGCCGTCCGTGCGATTGCATCTGGGCTGTCCGTACGCACGCTTGATCTGGGCCGTCCGATCGCGCGTACGCGGATCGCCAACGTGGCCCGTCTCCGGTCGACGTGGTTTTGCCACGTGGCAGGTCCTGGTTGGCCGGGACTGCTGACGTGGCTGCTGATGTGGTGTTTTTTTTAAAAACCTAATTAAATAATTAATAATAAAATAATAATTTTTTTTTTCAAATTTTCGGGCGTTACACGGTCTATATCAAACATGATAGACAACCTAGATCAAAAGCAGATGGAAATAAATAACCTCCATCCGCACCAAATCCTAACCCTAGCCACCAAAACCCCTCACCGGAGAAGACAACCCAGCTGCTAGGGAGCCGACCGTCGCCACCCACCGCTGTACCGGAACCCTTTTCGATTGCCAAAAAAACGTAAAAACTTTTCCTTTTGCACGAAATTCAATTTTAATCTCACCCATGGCCAAACCAGAGTGAAAAGAGCAGTCAATTGGCCGAAAAACACAGGTAGTACTGCCGCAGAGAATTTCACAAAACGCCTCCGATGAGGTCCTTTCCAATTCTCGTTTTGCGTAATTTTTCACTGTTGTGATCACATTTTTCTTCTCTATAGGTTGACCGAAGCGAAACACCCAACCGCAACGTGAGTCGGAGGAGCCGCCGCACCAGAGAGCCCCGCCACCGATGAGTTTCGATTTTTTGTATTTTTTCTTTAACGTGTTTGCTAACAGGAATCGATGCAAAATCGGCCGAAAACAGCCGACCCAACATGGACTGTCACTGCGGGCGGCGGTACCGTCACCGTAGCACGGTGAAGCTGCCGTGCTAGATTTTTGAAATTAGTCAAGTGGGCCCTAGGACTGATTTTGGGTTTATGTGGAACATTTGTATGTACTATAAGCGCGTTTCAGTTCCCGAAGAAAAAATTCAAGGAACCACCATTTTTTTTTTGTTCTCTTAAGGGCGTAGTCTAAGACAATTATGCGACTACACATGAAAGTGTCATTCTAAATCCACCACAAACATAGAAACCTTATCGCAATCTATTACTTAAAATCACAATAAACCTGCAACCCTATATGTAATATCACAGTGAATGATAGTTTCACAGACTCCCAGCAGACACACTATCTACACTACTACTAGTTATTACACACTCAATCATGCCAAATAATGAAAATATTATTGCCCTGTTCCTCTATCTGCTAGGGTCGAAAATCAGCAACTCCGATCCCGACTTCATCCCTACTCCATCTGTAAATAATAAGGAGTTAGTATATACAATTCAGTACAGTAAAAATTAAGTTACAAGTATCATATACAACAATAAGGAACTCAGGGGTCCTATATGTACTCCACCTACTCAACCTAATACCTACCCTTGGTAATTTAAAAAATTATGCATGTTAATTGTGACCACCCCTCGACGTCCCCTAACTGTACAAATACTCTCACTCGTCACCAGTATTGACGATCACCAATAAACCGCCTATCTCTCGACCCCTAATAGGCCACACACACACACAGATACCATTCCCACCCGTCACTAGTATCGGCGACCACCAAAAAACTGCCTATCTCTCGACCCCTAATAGGCCACACAAACACACAAATTCTATTTTCACCCGTCACCAGTATCAGCGACCACCAATAAATCGCCTATTCCTCGACCTCTAATAGGCCACGCACACACCCAAATACCATTCTTTTTCGTCACCAATATCAGCGACCAAACCCCTTCCCGTCGGAGTCTCCCGACCATTACCACATTCGACAATCAACTTACTTTTTCTAGGTAGCGACCAC